TCCCGGACAGTGGCAGGGGAGGTGGAACTAGATGATCTTTGAGGTCCCTTCCAACCCAAACCATTCTAGGATTCTATGATTCTGTGATGACACACAGGGACCATGAGACATCCCACAGGGCGCTGGCACGATGGGACTGATGTTTCAGGTGAAACAAGCCTTTGGGGAGGGGCCTTCCAGCAGTGCTGGAGGTAATACCAATTAATTCATGCTACCATGCAAGAAATCCAGAGGGGCCATCCTGTGTTAAAGAAGAGCAGCCAATTTATCGAGGCAGGTATACAGCAAAATCCTATTTTCAGCAAGCCACTGAGCCTGTCCATTGTGTTTCATGATCACTGTGTGCAGACATATAAAAGACAGCTCTGTAAAGAAAGCTTCCTTAGAAAAAGGACTCCCACTGCTCCAGCACCACCCAAACAGCTCATGATCAGCTGCAGCTGGACCCCCTCACCCTGCAACCAAGCAGCACCTGAGGCACATCCTCAGCTCTCCCCTGCCCTGTTGTGCACCCTGGCTGTTGCTGAGCCTGCTCCTGCATGGGTACCAGGTAAGAGCATGGCAATGTGCTCCAAAACTGTGTGGTTTGGTGCCTGAAATCCTCATCAAGGGTTGCAGAGCCGTTCCCATGGGAGAGAGTCTCTTTTTGCCCAGCCTGGCATGGAAGCCTGTAGGGTTGTGTGGCAGAGAAAACTATCCGGGCCAGGTTGGATGAGGCTTTGGGCAACATGGTCTAGTAGAGTATGTCCCTGCCCATGGCAGAGGGGATTGGAACTAGATGATCTTTGAGGTCCCTTCCAACCCAAACCATTCCATGATCCCATGCCAATAACCATCATGGCGGAGGACCTGACCCTTGCCTGAGCTCATAGCAAGGAGTTTGCAAAATGTGGTCAACAAGGGTATATTACTTTAGGAAAGGAGACCACTGAAGGGACAAGCAATGGCTGGTGGAAAAGGCTGTGGAGAGGGTAATGGGGTTAGGTAAGGCACAAACTGCTGATTTTTGCCAAGAAGGGGTTTTGGTTAGAGATAGGGGTGAGAGTTGGAAATCCTGGCGGTCGCAGCTGGTGGAGGTAGCTTGTGGTGTCCTCTGTGCTAGAGGCTTTGTGGAGGGAAGTTTGGCAAATGTTTCTGTTTGAGAGCTGAATAAAAGGCCTTCCAGTGAGAGAATGAGATTGATTTATCTGTTTCATCAATGACACTATGTAAGTACTCTGACAGGGCACGAGTTGCTTAAACCTAGGGGAAGGTATAACTGGAATTTTTCAGGTAGAGGAAACTGTGGAAATCCCTATCTGCAACTGGGCTAAACAGCATGGAGAAATTTAGGGATTTCCCACCAGTGGGACCTGCCTGGCAGAGCTTCCCTGCAGCTGTTGCCCAGGGGAGCTGAATGGCTTTTTGGAGGGGATCTTGTTAGCCAAAACCCTCCTGGGCTCACTTTGCAGGCAGTGGGATCTGACTCTGTGATCTTCAGTACACCAAAGGAAAGCAGGTGATCTAGTTTTAAGTTTAAAGATTAGTTTTTAAGGCTATCTGGCCTTAAAACCATGAGAAACTCCTTAAAATCTGTCCATGCACACTTGCCCGAGCTCAGTGCCCAGTACACCGTGATGCAAGAGCTTAAAATCACTTCCCCCATGAGCCCAATATAGCTCATCCGGCTCCCGCACCTTTGCTCGGCTTTAATTGCCAAAAACACGTTGCTGTTATAAACAACAGCAGCATCAACGATGAAGTGAGGAAGCGGCCAAGGAGACTATGAAAACACTGCATCCTTCGCAAAACACTTTCCCAGGGCTACAAAAGCAAGCAGAGATGAAAGCTGAGCAGGAAGCGGCGCGGGCTCCTGTGGGTGAAGGCGGGAGGAGCCGCTGTGGGGCAGGGCTCGCGTCTGGGGTGAAAAAGCCCCTTTTGGAAGACAGAGTGTTTTTTTTAGATGAGACCCACCCAGGCTCTGTTTGCTCTTGGTTTGCATCACGGCCAGTGAAACCCTCGCAGATGAGAGAAAGCGGGCGGTGGGAAAGGATAAAGACACTGATGTGATCTCCTGCCTTGGTTAAAAAATGGGCGGTTTGGTTCATTTCTTGGGATCTCAGATAAGCATTGGATGTCATTGCATGCTCTCAGCTCTTGTTCTGGAGTGAACCAGTGGTAAATATGTCTGAGCGGCCATTGCTGGGGTCTAACTGGGGAGTGGGGAGGCAGGACTGTCAGTGTGGTGGTCCCCAGCCAGCATCGCTGAGATCTTTCCCCGGCACGGCTTTGAGGACAGCGTGACACTCGTCCCCGTGCTGTGCCAGGGGTGTGCCAGAGGGGCTGCAGGGGTGCAGGGGGTTCAAACTCCAATGGACTTTGGTGGCATCTCCATAGAGCAGCA